CAAGTTTCACCAACCATCTTCGACATCCCTTAAGAACCCTCGCAGGTGGACCCTAAGCGGTAACAGTTTCACAGCTTCACAACGGTACTTCCGGATGTTCTTGGAAGACTTTGTCCCAACGTAGATGTTCTTGAACCTTCTTTAACTGATCGAAGACAACCATTCCACATTGTTTTCAGTGCATGATGGTTTCATCGCATACAGACAGACATATGGGCGTAAACGTCTTGGTGCAATGGATACCATCATCATCAGACTGTCATACCGACGGTTTGATGTTAGCCTGAACGCATCTCCACGTCTTGACATTGACGATAATTTCAAAAGGTCAAAGTTGGACATGGCATGGAACTGCCACAGAGAAAAAGAAGGCCCACGAAGCACTGCATGTAGAGGGAACACATCCTGTCCATTAGGATTTTTGTGAGAACGAAGCCTTATCTTAACACAGTTCTTCAACAGAAGTTTCGCTGTATGCATACGTGGTACTCGAAGCAAAATGTAACTACCATTATCTATACTCCGATTCCAAATTTTTCACGATAGAACTCAGCGACGTTCACTGGTAGGCAATGCAAGCTTCTACACCCAACCACATAGTGAAAACAGCGTGACAAATTTTATTCATTTCAGCGAACACCAGTCGCACACGTTTCCTAATCTGTCATGTTGATCGTTAAGTAAATCCCACGTCTTTCGTTTACATCGCGCCCCGCTCCCATCTCTGTGATTTTCACTTAGAGACAATACCCCGAAAATCAAAAATCGTGAGGGCCCGCTCTACTCATCTGGTGGATAAGATAAAATATCATTATATGCACCGTTTCAAATACCCTAAATCCCTGCCGGCAGCAATTGAGGGATTTCACACAACTCCAATCACACGTGTGTTCTTCATGTGTCTACGGTACCGTCCCTTAAATAATTCAAATCGAATCTTTCCACGAAAACTTGCGATTTCTAGCGAAGGTATCGTGCACGACTTCCGCTGGCAACGCCCCTTCCCCTTCGATACAAGTGTACTGTTTTCACTATAGGATTACAAGCCAGGCTACACGATCTCCGCTCATCGTATCAGCGAATACACTCAGGCGAAGACATCCCGCTTTCTATATATACTTTCTTTGCATTGAAAATGTATATATGCAACCATTCCTATCGCATCGATCATCTTGAAACAGTCACAAAATCGCTTCAGCAAAACCTCAAACATCCCTCATCCTACCTAGCAGCCAACCCATCAGCCATCTCTCCTGCCCACGTAAGTACTTTCTATTTTACCTTCTTCTGTTTGACATGTTTTGCCTTTAACATGGCCACTACCTTCCTCTTTCGGACTTCAAGTTTTCAGAACTCCTTCACCATGTCTTCCAAACACCCGACATCAACACACGTCGTCGCATCGAACCCCTACTTCCGCGGGTATCAACAGCAAGAAGAAAAAGGCCGGCGGCAACAAAGCAAGAGGTCCTTTCAACTCCTGTGAGTTCCACGCTGTAATTCCCAGCAACTCAAGGAAGACGAAGAATCCCCTTCCCCGGAATGTTCTCAAGTTCACAGGCTTTGTGAAAAGAAAGCTACGGGTGTATGTACAACCGACGCAAAGACCACTCCTGTCAACGGCGTTAAACCCAAAGCACATGATGGCCTTTGTTCAAGCCGTCGCTGACAAGACAAGATCGAGTGGGTATTCAAATTGGTGGACCCCGCTTCTGCTGATGGTGGAAAAGCTCCTTATGTACGAGGCCACACAACGGTACTTCTTATGACAAAGAGGCTTTGTTATCATGGGCCCCAGAGGTGAAGTTGACGAACTAACTGGTGAGCGTTTCTTAACCCAGATCCCAACCCCAGTAATGGCCATTGAAGTGGTTCAATGAAACCTTTAACGGCCTACATGCAATACGTGTACGACCCGGCAAAGAAGGATGAACCCTACCTAGGTTCTCGACGAACAGGACAAGTGGTACAAAGTCCATGACACCTGGAGTGAGCTGCTCACCCACTCCGACATCAATGACCACCTTGTGACGGATTCTGGATCGATCAGGGCGAATACCGCACTGTATTCGAATTCCTCAAGGACGACAAGGGCCATGTGACTCTATTTGGCCTCGTGGTCAACTCCCTGCTTCACGTCTTACGTCGTTGTTTTCACCGAAACAACCTTGGATGCATCGGACTTCGGTCGCATCGGCCATCACTGGTGCCCGTCGCAAAATTATTACAAGCCACTACCACGCACACCATCCCCCGCCCCCCACCTCTACTCCACCAGTTCGCCTTCAGCTGCACACTGGCCCTTCCCCATGTTTTGAACTACCCCCCGGCATGAACTTTTAGGCCTTCTTGGAAACTCTTCTGGAAAAGCACCAGCAGGAGAACGTGGTAAGTCTCCTACAGTAGCTTACCGTATAAATCCCCCGTGCCCTCACTTTCAAATCCTCAATACTGGACCTCCCAATATTATTCGCAAACCAATCCAGTTCCAATGCAACCAAATACGTCATCTCCCGTCCCACCTGTTCCACGAACCACGTCGGCCAAAGTATCACCTGCGAATAGTCAGAATGATACACTCCACAAGGTATGAAGAAAGCTGCCGAACTGCTCACGATCCTATTACCGAATACCCCAGTTCCGACGAAGAGCGGGAAGCAGAGGAAAAGAAGACGCCAAGCTCCCAGCGGAAGCGAGCCAACCCTCCACTTAACACACGTTGACTTCAAAATTGCAAAACCTAAACCCTAAATATAAGCCACATGATTCATTCGATTCTATTCACCATTATCCTGTATTAGTAGACAAGTTAAACTAGTACTGGAAACGGAGACGACCCAGGGGGCATATGAATCCTTAGCTCTACCGTAGATGCCAGTTTCTGAACCAGAACCAACCAAATCTTTGGTCGATCTTCACGTCGTGAAACCACACTCAAACATCCATCATTCAGCAAGACGTATAAAGACTGTTGTTGGATTGGGGCTTTCTACTCGTACCGTATCACTTCAAAGTAGATCTAGCATACCGGTAGGATGAGTGAGAAAGAACAGGACGTGGCCATGGCAGGGACCGAAGAATCGTCGGCAGAAGCGAAGACAGTCAAAAAGGTGGAGGATCATCCACCAGCAGTGGCGGATGCATCTACTAGCACCCAAGACAAGGAAGCGGAAGTCAAGAAAGAGGAAGTCAAGAAAGAAGAAGGAGATGCTGCAAAGGCGGATGATGATAAGGAGAAATCCAAGGATGAAAAAGAATCCGTTGTCGAAGCCAAAGATGATAAGGAGGATACCAACAAAAACAACACTAATAATAGTAAGGAATCTTGGGACCACAGCAACCGCAAAGTCATGGTGCTGAATTGTCTCAAGTTTCTGGACAAGAGGAGATTGACCAAGATGGTCAATTCCTGGGTTGCCGGATGCAAGGGTCAAGTGGAAGTCAAGAAAACCAAAAAGCCTCCCACCGATAGTTGGGTCGTTGTCACTTTGGGACACGAATCCCAAGTACCCATTCTCATTAACTACATTCACGACAATCAATGCACCAACAAAAAGGGAGACCGCCTTCGGGCCATTCCCGCCAACCAGGTGGATGCGGCCAGTGAACAGAAAATTAATCAAATGGAAAACGGCAACGAAAGGCCTAACAAGAGGAGACACGATGATAATAATACTGCAGACGACTCTCTCTCCAAACGACAACGGGGAATGCAACAACGACGGGCGCCCGAGCCGGAACCCCACGTCATTACCGAGGAAGAAATCAAAAATGCCATGATTCCATTGTGGCGGAATACGTATCCCGAACAGATCGACCACAAACAAAAGGACATGATCAAGAAGTGTGCCATGAAGGTTGTCAAGGAAATCAAAAGCAAGTTTCGAGATCTTCAAAAAGAAGCCAAACGAAACAAACATCGAAAACCCGTCAAGCCGTACGCATGGCTCAATGGGATCCGGCCCATTGTCATGGAAGATGTCATACCCGCCCGGAGTATGGTACGAAACAAGTGCGAATTCACGTTTGGATATCGGTATGTACAAGCCGAAACAAAAGACTCTATTGGTACCCCCGCGTCGACAAACAACAATGACAAGGTGAAAGAGACAACCACCACGGAGGCAACTGATCAGGATGTCGAGATGAAAAAAGAAGAAACAACGCAAGATTCTAGCGGCACGACAGAGAAACAGTCGCAACCAGCAAACGAAGAAGCAACCAAACAAGAAGAGAGTACAGCTGAAACTAGCTCCAATTCCGATGCCAAAACGGATGGAGCTCCAGAAGCAAAGGCAGAAGAGACCAACACCGCAGAGACACCCGCCGATGCATCCAACACGCAAAAAGACACGACAAACAACAACGACAACGATGAGACCAAGATTCCTCTGAAAAAGATCCCATCCGTTGGAGCCATGGCACGCGGATGGAGTGGTGGTGTATCACATCCCAAGTGTTGTCCTAATATCCCCTCCGAAGCCTGCGCTGTCATTGATATTGTGGAAGAATTCTTGCAGACATGTCCAATGCCACCATATAATGCCAAGACACACACGGGCTTTTGGAGGACCCTGACGGTGCGATCCTCACGACGGACCAACCAGTGCATGCTCATCTTCATGCATGCCCCGTTGTCCGGAGGAGCAGGATCCAAAGATTCGTCGGACGTTGATAATTATGAACCCGAAGTGTTTGAAAAAGAAAAAGAACGTTTGATGGGAATGATCACCGATAAGGATCTGCCTGTTACCATACCCCCGTCAACTTGGTTGCAAACAGAGGAGGACGCAGCAAAGAACACGCCGACGACAATCCGAGTCACGTCCATCTTCTTTCAAGAGTTTGGCGGCATCTCCATGCCAACGCCAGAACATCCCGTGCAGGTACGTAGGTGGGCACGTGCTTGTACAGTTAGTTTAGTGACTGAAACCATAGACATGGACGTGATTGTGTTCAGACGTCCAACTCACTTGTTATTGTATTACTTTTTGCACAGCATGCTTATGGTGACAAATTTTTGCAGGAAAAGCTGGGCAAATGCACATTCCAAATCTCTCCCGGAGCATTCTTTCAAGTCAATACTGAAACGGCAGAACTTCTCTACCAGATTGCTGCGGACAAGGTGAAAGAAGTTGCCACAGACAAACCGGAAGGAACGCTTTGTTTCGATGTTTGCTGTGGGACTGGAACAATTGGGTAAGTGCTGCAATGACTGAGCCACTTTGTGTGAGCGGCAAAGACGGGTAACACTGACTCGTGTTGATTTACAAATCTTATTGGATCCTCGGTCTTGTCTTTCTAAAGTTTGACGTTAATGAAAGAAGGCGTCGTGGGGAAGGTTGTGGGTGTCGATATCAGTGCTCCCGCCATTGACGATGCCAAGGCCAATGCAACCCTGAATGGCTTTGGGCCCTCATCAGACGACAACAAGGAACAGAACGAAACGACTCGGTGGGTGGCTGCCAGAGCTGAACACGTCATGAACGCGGAACTGAAACGGGCTCGCGAGGCTGGGAATTTCGAAAAGGTTGTGGCAATTGTGGATCCAGCTCGTGATGGATTGCATTTCGATGTTCTTAAGCATATCCGTGGATTTTCACAGATTGACCGCATCGTGTACGTGTCCTGCAACCCAACGGGCAGCTTGACCAAGGACGCTGCCGCCTTGTGCACACCAGCATCCAAACGGTACCGAGGGCGACCCTTCAAACCAACCTTTGCTCAACCCGTGGATATGTTTCCATATAGTCATCATTGTGAACTGGTCATGGTTTTTGATCGGTTATCGGATGACGAGTTGGGAGAGGATGAGCTCAAGAGGGAGGATCGTTAAGGGGTAGCGGATTAACACAACTGTAACTCATTGAATAATTCTAACCGATGCTGCTGCTGATTCATAGCTAGTCATCACCCTTGTCGAAGGCAGGTGACCTGCAGTGGGCGTGACGTTTCAGCGAGACCTGCAGCGCAACGGACAAACGAAGTGGTAGTTTAGTTTACCCCCTCACAAAATACAAGCCTCGTCGATACCTCTGCCAATCACAATGACAGGTGGTTCTCCTGCGGCCAGTGTGATCCCACCTTCGCAGCTGAACATGGCTTCCAATGAACTTTGTCGAGCTGGTAATAAGATGATATTCCCTTCTTGAGCAGTTGCAAGCTTGTCATTAGGTTGCCACGATGTGCCGAGAACTCCTTGCTGTCCTGCACCCGCGGTTGATTGGCAAAGGACGGCGGCAGCAACGACTCAACCAACGCCACAGTCTGCGCGAGGCTTTCGGGCTGACGTGATCCGCGCCCGATCCTGCCTCGCGAATCCGCGGCCGCGCTTCCTCATGGTGCTGCAACGCCTTGTCGTATGCTCGTTTGGCGTAAAAGACCACTGTATGTCAATATAATATCCATTGCCGTTTGAAAAAACCGCAACTTGATCCCCCATTCTACTGATGGCCCAACAGCGAGAATGGCCCAACAGAGAGAATGGTTCGGGACAATGGGGTAAATCATGTCAAATTACCCTCAGCTCCAGTTCAGAACTCCCAATTCTGAAGAAATTCATTGCCCTCAACAGACTGAGGGTCTTTCACACTTTTATCGCTGTATGTGTATGTGTGTGTGTGTGTGTGTGTTTGTGTGTTTGTTGCAGCTGTTTTGGTCACATAGGGGACACTTTCCTCATTAAGGATAGGGATTAATATTGTGTGTTCAGCTGGACACAGTAGTTTCAACATATGGGTACCAGTTCTGGCTGGCTATGCAGACTCACTAGTGTGTCCAGATAAACACGGTGTAAGTTTTGCCAAAGACATAAGGGACATTTTCCTTGTTAAGGATAGGGATTGATATTGTGTGTTCTGTTGGACACAGTACTTTGGACCCTTACTGACTGGCTGGCTATGGAGACTTGCTAGTGTGTCCAGTTGAACACGGTAAAGGATTTGACCAAAGATGTTAAGGATTCGATTGGGGAATCCAATCAAATCTCTTTTTGACAGTTGAGGGCATCAGCCTCCGGCTGCTTGTTCTTTTCAAGCATCCAAGTTTGTTGATAGATATACCCTCAACAGTTTAACCAATAGAGTCAACCTGACAGTACTTTGAGTTAGTGGATACTTAATTTAGACATGCTGGTCGCAGTGATGGTAGTGGCTTGTTGATTTGCTGGTCATGGGAGTAATGAACAGCCATCAAAGTAGGGGAGCCATTTTCTCGCAAAATTTACTGTCACCGGTAGGACGGCCCATCTCTGTCCCCACTATTAGCCCCATTGGACCCATCTGATGGATCAATTCTTTAGGTAGACAAACTAACCAGACTGGAATGGTGAAAGCTATTGATACGATCATAAGAACCACTGGAATAGATGCTGGAGTTGTTGGTGGCGCATTCTGGATCTCTGGTCTGGGGCTGCCAATTTTTTCTATTAACTTGTTGATCCTGCTCACTTCCAATGATATCATCCTCTCTAATGTGATCGTTAGATCAATAGTTATGATTGGGTTGATAGCAGAAGGGTGACCCAGTCCAAAATGAAGATAAAGCTGAGAACTTGGGAATATTTGGAAGAAAAATAAAGCATCTAGTTTGACATAAGATAATGCCTTCTACATGGATGTCACCAATACAACCAGCACATGGCTGTGACAAGCAAAGAATGTAGACAATTCTAGATGATTAGTTTGTTTGTGTAGGTGCCATCTTGGTTGAGTTCATCCTGTATCCTGTAGCCATCCTGACAGTTGCTTTTTACATCAACTTTGTGTGTGCTTTCGCATCAACTTTGTGAGGGGAGACGTCTTGTTTTATGGTTTCGGTGCTGTGACGTCATCAGGTGAGAATATTCTCGCTGTTGGACCGTTCCTAGCATTGCATGAAAAGGTCAGACCCAAATTGTCAATTGTGATGGCTAATTTTGGATGCTCCTTCCACAGTGTCATGGACAGGACCTTTTGAAAGCCTTCTTTGGCAGCTAATGTTCTCCGTTATAGCTACCAGTAGAGTGCGCCAGGACCGTCCGACGGTTATCACTCAGGATTTATAAAAACTTGAAATTGCACACGTGAGGACAGCTTGAAAACAACCCCTTAAACATCCCCTTAACAACCCCGTAATATTAAACAACCTTTAAACAACCTTAAATAAATAACCCCTTAGCAACGCCCCCTTAAATCTCAAAACAACCCCTTAATCCCTTCATTGAAACACCATACAACAACCCCTAACACACGAATGAACATCCCCTTTAAATAAACATCCCTTATTAGCAACTCCCCTAAACTCCCTATTTCACTTTCTAACATCTTAACTACATGCCCTTAACACGCCTTACGGAAAACCAGGATTAAAGTCAGTCGTGCAGGTTTTAAGTCTGAGCGAAAACCGTCGGGAAACGGTCCAGGATTCGATTGTGGTACCGGTAGAGCTTCCCACGTGCTAGCGTGCTGTTTTCCGAGCTAGAGATCGCCTTGCCTGTTCCGGTACCAGTACCGGTATCGATTTCCCTGGCTAGAGCAGCTTAGCAGGCTGCATGATAGGATCACGATCTTTTGCACCACAACACTTCGCCCCAGCCCGCCCCAGCCCAAGCCAATGCAACTCCGAGCTCGACCCAGCCGAAGGTAAATGCAAGTCCGAGGCATCTTCCCTCTTCCAGCACAACATTTTAAATTCATTGCAAGTGACAGTATCATTAGCAACAGCGCTGCCTACCAGTACCAGATACGGTAACAGTTCAAGCAGACCATGGAGGTGAATTATCACCAGCATATCGAGGACGATTATGTTGGTTTTGACAAATGACAAGCCTCACGACACCATTCAGGCATACTTTTCTAAAAGTCCATGTTTTGACATCAGCATTGCTACCCAAATGGAATACAGTCAGTCTGAAGTGGCCAAGTCGGCATCAGATGCCATTGATGCCCTTCTGCTGCTTGAAGACTTCCCTTCTTTGGCTGCAAAACGTTTCTCTTGTCGTATTATTCCTTCCCCTCGGATTGGGAGTGCCTTACTGGCGTTGTACCCACTTGCCTTTTTTGTCATGAATAATTTTGACAGCAAAATACTCAACAGAGTCCTCAGACTATATCCAGAAGCCATCAATCAGTCCTTTGGCTTCGTAAAGTGGTCAAGTCTACTGGAATTTGCTTGCTCAGTGACTGGCCGATACACACACACCCGGGACGGATATGACCATTCTCACAAAGGCACCTACCAAGAGCTGTTGCTGCATCCAGGCTCACAGCCCAGAACACATT